GAAGTCGAATTTCGAATAAATATTCGAATGATTTATCGATTAACTAGAGCAAACATATCTCAAACTTGCCGACATATTTGGCTAAAGCTGATCCATTCATAATCAGCACCCTCGTATCCCCTATACCAACTCCTAGCTCAAAATTCTCCAAAAATGCTGAAATGGATAAAATAAATTTCGGTTTCAATCAGCATCCTCATGTACCCCCTGCACCAACTCCCAATCTCGCAGCTCAAGATTTTCCAAAAATCGATAAAATATATAAAGTAAAATTTTATCCATAACCAGCTCCCGCATTTACCCCCTCGTATCAACTTCCAGCCCCCAGCGCAAACTTCTCAAAAAATCGAATTCGAATATTCCGCGAAGCGAGCACGAATGCCCCTATAGCCCCGGGCATACTGCAGGTATTTCAGTGGCGACGTGGTTTGGCAATAGTCAAATCGTCCAAAACTTATTCTAGAAGTTAGAAAGTTGTACGCGGTCAACATCTGTGGTAAGCTGACGTTACATTTGAAGACATCTCGTAGCTGGCAAGTCGCGTACGGCGATCGTAACCGTCTAATCCTCCACTACAACTGCGATGCTCTTTACTCAAAATAAACCAATTCGCAAAAAAAATCTCTAAGGTAGCGAATAGAGGCAGTTGTGCAATATAACTTATGCGAGCAAAAGTGCTCAATAGTGTGGGCTTTGCGTACCACAGGCATGAGCAATGCAAAGAAAGAAAAACAGGCATTTTAAAACATAGTAAAACATTTTCAATATATGAACTTGGAACATGAGCTTGAATTCGATAGCTTCTTTGCTGATTTGGTGCCAATAGCTGTGCGAACAATCTCATTAATCGAAAAAGCATTAGTTGAAATCCACATATGATTTTTTTACTGTCGCAAGCAGTCGGAAGAATGCGACTCTCCATACAGTTCAAAGGTCATAACGGTTGCAAAAGATGCATTACCGAGTTTTGCGAAAAAAAACGCGGACGAAGTGAGCTTGATACTTAGCAGTTGGCTCTGCAACAAAGTCGAATAATTCGAATACGAATTCGAATAAACATTCGAATAAAACATTCGAATAAAATCTATTCGAAACCCCGTTTTTTTATTATTCGAGTTTTCGAATAATATTCGAATCCTCGTTTTTTGATTATTCGAGTTTCCAAATTTTATTCGAAACCCTGTTTTTTGATTATTCGAGTTTTGAATTTTATTCGAAGCCCCGTTTTTTCAATTATTCGAGTTTCGAATATTACTCGAAAACAGAGGAACTCCGAATATCGAATTTCGAATACGAATATATTCGAATGTTTTATTCGAATGATCGAATTTCTATTCGATTCGGACCCAAGTATACTGCACATATGGATATCAGATATTGGAAGTACTGACGTGTGCGAGTTGGAGGTCCGTAGAAATTATTTGGACGAAGATCTGATTTTTTCGATTTTTTGGGCATTTGGAAATCTTTAGATTTTGTGTTCGAACTCTCCATGGATCGAGCTTGGCGCAAAATGATGAATGCCATCTTGTAGAGCTTGCTTTGCTCTATCGAACAATATCCCTTATCATTTGTTGGGTTGAGTCTGGTTGCTTTGTTAAAGCAAGCAAATAAAAAACGACATTATTTTCTTGACAACCTAATACTAATAGCTTGCTGTATAATGACCAAGTTGGAGAGGGTGCGTAGCAAGCGTTACCCAAGGCAGCCGTCTGGTGCCGCGGCCAGCCGCCAGAGCTGCCGGAAAATAAAAGGGGACCGCAAAAGCAAAGAATAAGCTCCGGTAACCACTTCACCGAAACCGCCTTCTCGATTTTGAAAACTTCATGGAAATGTAGGTTTCCTGACTAGAAAACGACTATGTTTAGTAGAAAGAAAATGACTATAGCAATGGAGGCTAGGATGTGCGCAAAAATAAGATCATTGATGCGGTGCGCAGCTTCAGAGAAGAATATAAAGCCGGAAATTACATACCAACAGCTTCTATAAATAGTTTTTGTATTAAAATGTCGAAATTTGTCATAGAGAAAACCATCTGATAGCAGTGCGAATGTAAAAACTAAGCTGTAAATTTGATTGTGATTTCTATTTGTGATTTTTTGTTGTTTTCTATCTATTTAATTTTTTTTGTTTTTGTGTAATTTTTGTAATGTGTAGCTTACTAATAAACTACAAATTTTCTGCTGTCTTGATCGATCTATATTATGTGGAAGTAATTTGAACTCTGAGGGAATTCTCGCACCTCAGCGCAATGATGTGCGAGGCTGCTGCGAAAATCTCTCTGCGAGAGGTTGCGGACGACGAGGGCGCGCTTACGGTAGCTCAGCCGCGACGCTGGTGCCAGCTCTGGCAGCTGGCCGCGGCACCAGGCGGCTGCCCTACTTGCACGCCTCCCACTTGGAGGTCCGTAGGGATCTTTCTCGCAGAAATCCAGTTTCCAGGTAACAAAATTTTTTTTCGATTTTGGCTTTAAGCTTTCTATGCGATGCGACTTAGACGGGTCCCTGATGGATATTTTGTAGAGCTTGATCTAGTCTATCGAATGATACTCTAACAGTAAGTTTAGTGGGAAAACAAGAGCAGCTTGAACTATTTGAGAAAGGACTTCACTTTTACGATAACCTAATATTTTGCGTAAACTCTATTTATTGTCGTTATCATAATTATTTTTCTTCGTTATTGATGAGTTCTGTGAAAGGACTACATTTTTGCATTTGTCCAACTAAAGGGTAGAAACAAAGTGGATAAAGTTGTTTTCATCACACAAATGCCTTCACATCAGCATTCAAAGCAGCGGTATCATTCATAATCAAATATGTCTATGCCTCTAGCAATGTAGGTTGTGGCCTAAATTATCGTTCGTTGAGTCGTATTAGCACTAAACACGTGAAAGTAGGCCAGGTCAATTGAGAACTCATAAACATTCCCTTACTAGCTAGTGCTTTGCCTAGGCAAAGAGCTGGACGGTATGCCATTCAGTACGCAGTTTCCAGTTCCACAACATGTTGAAATAAGGGCTTTTTCCATAAGTAATGCAATGCAGTTTTAGATAACATGGAAGAGAACTTCAACGAGGCATATCTTGACGATTGCAAATGCTTGCAGGAGAGCGAGTCTTCTCGCGTTTAAACCAGAAGAACCGAAAGAGACAATTTTAATGATACAATGGCTTCCGTCATAATGCCACCGCTACAAATCATCCAAATAGATCCAGCAGCTTAACAATGCAGGAACAGACGGATGAGTGGAAGAAGGAGAGCATAAGACTGTTCAAAGAGAGACCTCTTAGTGCTCTAATTAGTTTCGCTTTCAAAATGATGGCTATAATTTAGCATTTGTCGATTAAGCCACTCGAGGCCCCGTACTGTACTATGCAATGCATGCACAGCACTTTGAGATGTCCGAGGTACAGATAAAGTGGAATGAAAAATTGATGAATGTTCTTCAAGAAAAGGAAACACCTATTTCGGTGTGTTTCACATTTTGCCCGTTTTCGATAAGCTAATTTTTGCATAGTACAATGGTGTTTTTCTGTTCAACAGCAAGGTTTTGGAGGCTCACAACAACAAAAGGTATCTATACCGCTGCCAGTGCAACACATGGAACTGACAGAAGAGCAAACTGCATGTGTAAATCAGTTGTGCTGTATATTTGTGTTAGCTTTAAAACTTCTGCTTCACAAGGATGAAATAAATTGTATTTTTAGGGTGAATGTGAAAATAGCAAAGAAAACTAAAGGAGTGGAAGTTCTTTTGCTATCATTTGAACCACATCTTCCAGACATCCTGGTCCGTGATATAGGTTATTAACCTTTTCTATTTTGATACCAATATGCTTGTTTTTGTTGAGGCTTCATTCTTTTGTCTATCTAGGGCGCTGCAGACAATACCCGTGACGACCTGCGCTTTTTTGACGGATATTATAGCCACATAGAAAGCCCAAGGAACTTTGAAGCCATTGTTTTGAAAGTTATGTCATCGCCATGGATGGTTTTCGTCCAAAAAGATTGTCCAAGTAAACTAGCTCTTGAGATGGGAATAGAATAATGTGACCCATATGCTGCGCGTACATGGATTAGCACCCCGTGATGTCGATAAATACTTTAATTACATTATCGCTGGAATCATTTGAAGTCGCCTTGACCCCACAGGAAAGTTGATAGAAGCCGATTTCAGCAGGTTAGTTTAGCGACAAATTAGCAGAGATTGTCCAGGCTCGGCTGTCTCTTAACCTTGGCATGGTGGATACTCGTATTTGCAGAGATTCTCCACCTCCTATCGATTTAATTGGGGACTGATCGAGCTGCGCTGTGGTCCACTCCAGGTAGAAGTAGACGGTACTTTGTGGAAAGTCGAATTGGATCTGTACTGTTAAGACTGCAGATATAGCGGTAATTGTAATTATCAAACCAGGCGTGAAAGTGCACGGAAACGTCTCGTTTACAAAGACAGACATTGAAAAAAGGCTCGACGTCAACGTGTTGGAGGATAAATCGTTTCGAAAGAACTGTGCATGCTTCCGGAGTAAACTATGTCAAATTGTTTATAAATCCGGTAATGTTTATGACAAGGATTACCAAGCAAGACTTCAACTTTTGAAGCTTCCTTCTATGTTTCTTTTGACAATAATCATTTGCTATCTGATTGGAAAGTAATGGATGAATGAAGATGTAAGGCAAAACGTTTTATTGATGATATGGGGCACGTAAGGCAACATGGTAGATCGAGATCGTAGCTTATGAGTTATTTGAGTATATATTAAATTGTTTGTGGGAGGCGAAGTATCACAACTTATATTTACCTGGATAGTTCTTCAGATCTTTCATAATCCTATACAATAGGGATGTGTATATCAAAATCTTGTACGCGAGATGATTATATTCTATCATCAAACGCTAATATGTGGGATATAATCGACCCGAGTGCAAATAGCATAAGAACGTAGAACACCGAAGTTTCCACAACTGAGCGCGTAATCCAAACCTTTACGATGAGTGAGTATCATGTAGCAATTCTTCGTCTCTCTTCCATCTGATGTTTGATTGGCTTCTTGTTCAATTTATGATGCATAACTCGCAAAGCATGCAGAGCCTGTAAAAAGCATGTTTTAATCAAATTAAATCTCTTCCTCAATAACTTACATTCTCCGTGTCCCTGACGATTAATCTCTGAACGCTTGGGCTTCTCTTCTCTCGCCAAGGTATTGTTTCAATGTCTGGCTCGGAAGAAGTTTCTGACTTTTCTTCTGCCATGAGCATGATCTGACGACTGCCATTTTCGAGCATAGCTATGCGCGTCTGGAATGATACTCATTGCTTCCTCAAGGTCGTACATACACATTTGCGTAGATGGTAAGTTTCAAGTTGTTCTAAATGAAGTTCTAATGCCACTCAGAATATTCGCCTTGTTTGATTCATAAGCAGACAGTGTTAATAATTTGATTGCAAATAATGCAAGCTTTGAAAATCTAGCAGAAGACACCCATGCTTTGATCGGAACCAAAGCTATGATCGTCTCCACGATTCGTGTATAGGAGGGTTGCAGACTTTCCCTGATTTCAAGGGTGAACTTATTGAACCTCCACGTTGTAGCATTGTTCTTCGTACTCTCTCGCTATCAAAAAGCGTCAGAATTTGAGTTGGCAAAACCCCGTCTTTACACGTATCGTGAAGTCGATGATATAGTGTGCCTCGCCAGCTTCCCATAGGAACCTCTGCGACGCGCACGCGGCGCAGCTGACCTCGACGATTTTGCTTTTTGAGTTCCGGATGAGCATTTCTTGATCTTCTCTCTTCTTTACCGTTGTTACTCAATAAATTCTCCATTTCAGGTGTGGCTGACCTAGCTTCGTGCACTTAATACCTTTAGTCTGATAAATTCAAGCTAGCCATCACTCCACTAAAGCGCCTGAAAGACCTCCCTCAACATTTGTTTTCACTTTAGCCAAAGCCCTGAACTTTTGTCTCAAAAATTCTCACATCCCGTCCCAGAAGCGCTTTGCAGATGGTGAAAGCAGATTTGGAATCAGCGTTCCATGCTCTATAAGACAGCATACATCTCATGTATGCTGTCTTATAGAGCACTGCACTGCACTTCGACCAAGTATCCTTCCCTTGTGAGAAACACTGAAACGAAACTTCTGATTGATTTCTTCAGCAGCATCCAAGACACGTATATTGGCGAGACAGGCCGCCCCCTTGCACCCGCACCAAAGAACACTTAGATGGTCTCAGCAAGGGCAATGTAGCTACTCCGTTAGGCATGCATCGCAGGCTCAGCCATGACGACGCGGAGGTTGGAGTGCAGGTTCGAATCCTGGCGAGAGAACCCGAGAGCTTGGCGCGCAAGACACTCGAAGCGTTTTGGATAGCCGCTCAAAATCCAAAAATCAACCGGAAGGATGAGTGCCTAGCCATTACTAACGAGCTGTCACCTTATCAGAGCCTTTGCGGCTTTTGAATAATGAGGTCAGGTCAGGACCGGGTCACTAGATTAGTATAAAAGTAATGCAGTATAGTTCTTGACATAAGTGGTCTGCACCCACCTAATCTATTATCTCTAAGGTGAGCACTGGCTTAATCTTGCGTTTTGGTTGATACTGTTGCTTTTCTAGAGGGTTGGGCTCTTTTCTGTAGTCGATGAGGCATTTGATCGTATAGTTTACTTATGTGTTTTCGACTTTTCAGACTCTGAAGAAGGCGAGTTTGCCGAAACGTCTGTCTATTTATTGTGGAATAAATATCTGTACCAATCTTGGACGCTGCTGAAGAAATCAATCAGAAGATTCAAACTATGCCAAGATTTATAAATAGTCGAACATGGATACTGAAACGAAAGTTGCTACGGTACACATGACGAAACTAGTGAAAGAAGAATTACGGAGGCGCAAACTTAACTTTTCTTCCTGTACACCATGACTTTTTGTAATCCATGACTGTACGGGATATTTGACTTGTGCGAGACGCTTTAATTCAAATGTCAGTCTGGAGTCCTTCTTCTCCGAAATTTTCAGCCTTTTGAAATTAATTTATGGTTTCAATAAAGTAGAGCTTTGGGGTATATAGCAAAGAGAATTATGCCTCGTTCCTATTCTTATCTCAGACATGCAGTTTTATTAATAACTGTTTTTAGGTTATGGTAGCATTTACCCCACAACCACACAGAGAAAAATTTGTTGCATTGGTTACTGTGTCATTGGTATACCGCTAATCTTCTTGGTATTATCAAATAACGGCCAATTTGTGGTGGATGCATGCTGGATTCTACGCAAAAGCGCTGGAGGCAAGGTAGCATTTAGCTTACATTATTTCGAAAATTTCAAGTTCATTTTCTAGGTGCAAGCCTCCAAAAGTCTGCCACTGTGGATATCAGCGCTGTTGTTTTGCGCGCATTCGCTTATGGGTGGTGTCATTTTCAACACGTGGCTGGGACAAATGCGATTCTTCGATGGAGTTTATTGCAGGTAAAAATACTTTTCTCCCCTTGACGAGTTGTCTTTCTTCAAAGTACCGTGCATTTCGTCTTCTAGGCCCTAAAAGGGATCGGAGCAAGGTGGGCAAAAGAAGTTTTTCAAGAAAATTCCTCTTTGACACCAAAATTTTTTTTACGAATCTCCGTGAAATTCTCTTCAAAAATAAAACTATTAAAGGGATATTAACAACAACATTGAAAAAAACGTCAAGATTGTTCCGAGACCTGAGGTTGAAAAAACCTGTGCGCCGGATAATTTCTGCAGCGTTGGCGGAAATGGGAGAGGGGACCCTTGGCCTCTATGTACTCGGCAATCCTACACCCAGTCATCAGACCCACGACACTTCACTTTCATACACCCTCACCCTCACACAATGCTCCTACACTCCTACACCTCTTACACGCAACCCTTCACACTCCACTCCTCTCCTTCACCCTCACCTCCTTGGTGACCGCAGCGAGGACGGACGAGTGCAAGCGTTTGCGCCAGAAGCAACGGTGAAAAAGCTCCTTGCTGCAACGGCGACCAGGGCAGTGGCTGCCGTTGCAGAGACGAGCTTCCTAACCGTCGCTTCTCCAGCACTAAGTGTCGTTACGGCAGCCCTCAAGAAGATTTTCCCTCTTCCCCTCCCCCTTTCAAATTACCCAAAACACCCTTTCACACAGTTTGAATAAGAATTTTGTAGAGGTGCTGACACAAAGTCTACGGCACCGTAAGTGGAGTCGGGAAGAAGACGGCATAGAAAGTGCTGCAAGTCTTCAAATCGTAAACTGCTCTTCCGAGCCTCTTATGTCATGTAATCATTTGATTCGCAACGCAGTTTTTCGCAGGTCGAGCCCCGACAACATAGAAAAGGTTGCGCCATCGATCTGGAAATAGTAAATATCTTTTAAAAACGAAACACAAACAGCCGTTGTAGAACTCTGTCTATTGGAAGAATGATCAAGAAGTAAGATTAGATGTAGATTTAGTGAGAAGAGATGCAGTCACGCACCACGCATATTATGCTAGCGTAAAGAACAGCGGAAGACACTAACTATAGGAAGAAAAGTTCATGTACACTTTTTTCACACACTCATTCACGTTAAGGGCAGTGGCTCGGCAGTTTTCACCTCTGAAAAATTCTCACTTACGTGGGGTTATCCGAGGCGATGTTGCCGAAAATCCACCTTACAGAGCTTGAAAATGGCGAAAATCAAAATTCCGAGTTATTCAGTTTTGCCGATCCACTGCCTTTGAACAGCTTTTCAACCTAACAGACTTGTAATCATTGTGTCGAAAAAATCGATAAGGATCAGTAGCAATCATAGGCACAAACAAAGGCATCAACTATATACCCCTGAAATCAATGGCAGAACAATCTACAATCTAGAACGGACGAAAAAAATGTGTACACGAGAAAAAAAGAAGCAAGGGAAATGAAGAATTATTGAAGCAACGCCTTAGGACTGAGTGACGCCGTTCTCGCGCATATGGATTGAAGCGCGCTTTTCTCTTTAAAAAATCGTGCTGCTGATTCTATTTTGGGCTCGAGCAAAGAGGAGAGGAGGAGTTTCAAAAACACAATCTTACCATATGGTGAGTTTTAGGTGTAGAACAGGTTTATGTAGATATTTTGAGAAACTCATGTGGACTGGAAATTTTGCCTACCTCAGGTGGGCATTAGGTGGACAATAGCCCGCCTCACCTAAAAAAAGGTCAAACGCCCTTTTTCTTCACGTAGGTTTCTTTAATTTTATGCTTTACTTCTTACAAACGAAGGATACTTAGTCGAAGTGGCATTCCATATGTACACTATCTTGTAGAGCATAAAACGCTGATCAAATCTGCTTTCTCTATCTGCAAAGCGCTTCTGGGAGAAGAGTTATGAGCATATTTTCATGCAGAAATTTGAAAGGGCAGTTACAATAAAATCATTCAAAACCGTGAGCTAGTCCGTGAGCTCAAATGGGACCATAATCACTACTAGGATCTTTTATGCAATAGATACCTTCAATATAATAAACTCATGGCGTCACGATCTCAACACCTGCTTTTAACTTACAAGGGAAGGATAGTTGGATGCCGCGGCCATTCCTAATGATTTGTATACCAAAAAATGCGCCTTCGAATGCAGATTCTGAATCTGTGCTCGATATCTGCGAAACGGTCTTTTGAAGAAAGTTATGAACTTTTTTCCTTGAAAATTTAGCCTACTTTTGGATAGTAAAAATGACCAGATTTGATCTAGCCTACCGTTTGATGCTACTGAAGAAAATTTTAGACGTAGTAATATTTATTTAGACTATCTGGATCATACCCAGCATTTGGAAAGGAGAGAAAATTTTTTATTGATGATTTTGACCCTCCCCAGGAACGCAATTTTTTAATGAAAAAAAATCATAACTCCATTCAGATCATCGTTTCGCAGATATGAAAGACAGTCTACGAACCAGCATTCAAAAGCGCATTTTTTGGTATACAGATCATTATGAATGGCTACGGCATCCAAGTATCCTTCCCTGTTAGCCAAATCATTGTATTTTTATCTCAAAAAATTCCCAGAACTTTCCTCCCAGAAGCGCTTTGCAGATAAGGAAAGCAGGTTTGGAATCAGCGTTTTATGTTCTATAAGACAGTATACATTTTATATGGAAAAGCCACGTCGACCAATTAGCCTTCTCTTGTTAGTCCCATCGCGCGTACACACACCAACTTTCGTGCCATAATGTCATCTAAGGTTGCAAACGATCCGTTTTTCGTTTTGTGGTAGTAGGAAACTTGCAAGAAAAAAAGCTTGCCACAACATTCAATCACAAACTTTCTCCATGAAACTTATTGAGTTAACTCCAATGTCCACGTAGTTACGAACATGTATGTCATATTGTCATCCGTACTTTGCAAACCAGCCGTTGAACACGAACTTCCACTTTGATTACGAAAAATCTTTGAAAAAAGCTTAATGCACCTCTCATTTACATAAGATTTCATAGTTTTCCCGTACCTTTTTCGCGCTGAAATAAGTTCGCTGCCCAATTTGGTGACATATCTTTACGTAAGCACTGAGAACTGTCATATCGGCAGCTCCAAATGGCATCGGTCAGTCGATTCGCGCTTGCGGTAGTGATTGTCGCGATTCGACATGAGCGGATCTGTCGGCGTTGAGCTTTATGAGAATCACTTCTCAAAGAAATATTAGAATAAGGTCATAAGCATGACTCGACCTCCTTTTGCTTGCACATAGAATTTCTTCCGGGGCTTCTCCCAGACCCTGCAGAAATGATACCTCCTTTGCTTTTCGACCTTGAAAAGGCTTCCAGCTTGACATCTGCCCACCTCGTGCCGGACCCTATTTTTACGTCAACCTATTAATATTGATAACATAATAACTAACCTTTTTCAGCTTCATATCCATTGCAACTATTGGCTACGGTGATTTTGTTCCTGTGCCCGATTCGTGGTTCCACACAGTGTCGATTATGACCTTTCTCCCAGCAGGTGAATTTCAGTTCAATGGATAAATAACACTCTGTCTTTTCTAGGTGCCATCATTCTCACAACGCTAATTGACACTTTTAGCTACTATCTCAATTATGTGCATTATATTGGACGGGGAGCAACGTCGTTGATTTTTTCACAATTGAATTCAGTATTGCTTCAGTGTAAAAAATAAAGTCAGGATTTGAGATCTCAAATCTCAAAAATAAACAAAACCACGCAAGGTTTTGAAGAATCTCTACTTATTTGTGTGGTACCCTAGTAATGCTGAAATCAAAAAATATTTTAGAGAAAATTCACTGGTACAAAACATGTCCAAATTTGGTTTGGCGGAAGAATGCTCACCGTTCAAGAACTAATCATAATTGTAGCCGATGAATTCAATGTAAACTTTAGATTAGATTGCCGTCACATCATCCCAGAATAAATTGCATATTCGTTTAGGTTTCCCCAAAAAAGCTCAGAACAATCATACACGATCTCGACAACATTCTTAAGGCAGCATGTGAAAATGGTGTCTATCCTAGCAATGTGCATAATGTAAGTCATGGCCTTTACAGAGTTGTTTTCACTGCTGTTTTGTTCTCAGCTAAAGAGTAGCGCCGATGCGTTGCATGCAACTGCGGACTTGGCACGAAAAGAAGTAAGTGTGTCTTTGTTATAATCATTCATAACTCAAATACTGTAACATGTAGGTCGAACATTTTCAAGGAAAAAGTACGTCAGCAGTAGAATTTGTACTTTTGCTGCTGATACCAGAAACTGACCTTGTGATTACGGTTCAGTTTCGTAGCAATCAGTGTTGCACAAACTTCTTTCACCGTCTGCAATGGAGAAAAATTGACAAGGAAATGATCAGTTGAAGCTGCCATTCCAAACAATTTACAAACATTGGATGCAGCATAGATAGAACGCTGACTCCACATCTGTCTTCTCATACCTCTAAACGCCATTGGGCATGAAAGCTGTTTTAGTGCGAGGAAATCTTACACACACTTTGCTACAGATCATTGCCTTCTTCTGAACTTAGATATGGACTCTTGAAGTACCTAGCTGCATTTTTTGGCCCCGCATCAAATCAAACTTAAATCTGGCATTCGCACTTATACTGATCTTTGCAATATATTGTCTCATAACTTCGATCAGATTTCAGAATTCCCTAATCGCAAGTTAAAACAGGTCAACTATTTGCACATTTCTATAACTCGCGTAAACAATCTGGCGCCAATGACTCACCCTGGAATGAAGTAGATGCGTCATTTGGTACAAAAAATTTTAACATGCTCGCATAGTGTATCCCGGCCAACTTCATGGGTACCGCCGCGGCGCACGCGCAGCACGCCCTCTTTCTACTGCTTTCATCTCCGCAAAAAGTAGCGAAGCATTGTTCAAGAGGAGTTGCAGTGTGAGAGGTAAAGAGCCTACTCAATCACTTCTGAGAAGGCCTTATACAAAACTAGTGCTTGTAACGCCTTTCAATGAATCTCAAATTTTATGTGGGCCGGATCTAGAACCTTCAATGATGGATGCAATATCAAATAGCATTAGATGCTCACAAAGAACAACAGAGTTGTTTTTGCAACTTTTCTATTTGATGACCGTAGCAAAGTTCAAACATTAGAGCTCGAACACAAGCGCATTTGGGCAACGCTAAGATCTCTTTGACAATCGAAAATATGAAATTTACCAGTCCACAGTCGTGCTTTGGATAAGGTGCTCTAGGCGACTTCTCCTCACAGACTGTAACCTCAACTGTTAAAGGAACCAGAAATCAAGGACAAAAACTCTTGAGAACACGTTAAAGTTTATGATTATCGATAATCATGGCCCCATTCGAGCTCATAGACTACAGTTATGAACGGTTTTATTGTAGCTGTGCATTGAAAATTTTTGAGTCAAAAAATTCGCATACACCCCTTCTAAAAGCGCTTTGCAGGTAATGGAAGCTGATTCGGAATCAGCGTTTTATGCTCTATAATATAGTGTACATTTTTTTCCTATGAAAACGCCACTTCGACCGGGCATCCTTTCCTTATCAGAAATGTGATTAGGCCATTTGGAGTTTCAAAAGGGGTAAAAAGTAGAGCGGCAATCAGCATGCTAATCAGCATCAGCACGTTTGTAGAAGCCTAATTAAAAACACCTGAACAAAGATCGAGCATAACTGCGTGAAAGAACACTCAACAATAACAGAACCTTGGCCCACAACACTGCAAATTTTTCAATTTTTCTGAATTGGCGGTTTATAGTCGTTCTCACACCATTCCTCATTAGTCGCACAGCGACGAAACTCGAACAGGAGCGAATTCTCGATTCAATCATGCACACTTTTCTTTATCGTTTTTCACCGTAGTTGTTTGTTAATATTTGTGTTAAGGAGATATTCGCTATCAAAATGGACAAATTTGTTGTTGCCGAGCATTGTTCGTACAGTCATGCTAGTTACTTCAAGTCTGATTACAGGTAAGCTTAGAGAAATGGCACAGATGGGAAGCTTCTGCTTCAATAATTAATTTTGCTAACATGTGCAGAAGTGTTGCTCTAGTAATTGATGTCACAAAATTTTGCCATCTGCATCGTTTGTAGAAGCCTAATTAAAAACACCTGAACAAAGATCGAGCATAACTGCGTGAAAGAACACTCAACAATAACAGAACACCGATTTTGAGCAAGAAAATTGTCGTAATATATGAATTAGCAAACAACGGTATAAAAGAGAGAAAAAGAAACATGCGTAAATTTTCAGTGAGGGTGTCGCAGTGGCATTATATGCCAGCAATTCCTACTTAATCCTACAATGAGAAAAAAGTTCCGTATTACGTCGTTCACTGTAGATCTAAGATGAAGCCATTTGCAATATTGTATTAGAAAAGCCGCGAAAGCTTGCAAACGTGAGATATTGAAGGCTAATCGATCAGGCTAATCAAACCTTCTTCTACTTTTGAAAAACAACGTATGAATTAAGACAGAAATTTGAGATGAGATTGAGTTCAGAAGTTTTGTGCAATCAATTAAATTCAGACCCATTTCAAAGAATGAAATGATGGAATTCAAAGTGAAACAATGACCAACCGATAGTCATGATTGTTGTGTAAGTGAAGAGCAGAGCTGGTTGGAAGTCTTCTTTTCGAACGCTTTCATCGACATAACGCATAAAGACCGCACCAAAAATGAGATAGGAGATCAATAACAAGTTGAGAAGTATGTGAGGGGTCGCAGCAATGAGCACCTGTAAAACATGAATTTGTCCGTCTCCATCGCTGTGCAAAGAAAAGGTGAGGTATTAAGTCGGCGCAAAAGAAAACCACGTTTTCTACTGCATATATTCTTATTTGCAATCCTCTTATCAATGTATATGTAGGTGTAGTCAGCATAAGGTTATAGAGAATAGCACAGCATTTTCACGCTCTGGAACTTCCTTATAAGCTAAGGTAAAACAACTGAGGGGTTGACATCAGTGCCAATCTTTTTTCTATTTTAAAATATTTCTGAACCAAAATGATCGAGACATATGGCGATTTTATTTACTAATAGCAGGCATACCCGGCTACACACAGGTTACTTTCTTGAATTCAGTAATTTGTCAATTTAAATAGCTTTCCTGCTATGATCTCTATGACCAACACATGTTTTGCTTGCGAATTTAATGTTAATCTAGATTTGGTGTTTTGACAGTAATTTTTGAAAGTAGCTCAAATCCATAGATAAAATCACATGGTAAAAGCTTAGCGGTATGAATGGAGTAATGGTACAGATCATATTGCGCAAATACAATAGTTCCATCTATTTTTGCTACTTTGACATTTCTGCTGGGATTTTCTGAAAAGGCGTGTTTATTTTACTTAACAGGTTTGTGCGGCTACCACGAATGTACTTATAGGCATAGTGGAATGGGAGTAATCAGCATATCACTTACAATAAGAACATTTTCATTGCGCTATCCTCTAATCGGATGATTTCTATCTATTTCCAGTGCTTCATCACAAAAAATTCAACAATGCCTCCATTTTCTGCTCCGCGAAGACTGTGACAAAAGTGACGGTAGCCTAAAATTTGTTTCCTTATATCGCTGCTATAGTTCAAAAATCCTTCAATATTTCCACGTATTACGACAAAGAACGTTTCTCTAATCATATAAACGAACATGTTTTGTGATAAGTGTTGCTAATGCTGTTGTTTTTAAGGCCGCTTAGAGACAGCAAATCCAATTTGGCTTAGGGCTTATCAATTGTAGTGTCTCTTGCCCCAGCACCTCCGCTCCCGCGCAAGGCCTGTCTTCTGGGAACATGTTCTCTAATCATTTGCAATCAATTGAGGCTCCGTCTTTCTCACGCTCGCGGTGGGAAAGTGATCAGAGAGCACGTTCGCGAAGAGCGCAGAATCTAGGCAAGGCGGCCGCGCGGAAGCGGAGAGTTGATGCGCCCGACGCTGCATTTGATAAGAATTGTATTTGCAGAAATAGAAGGCATTGAGAATTGGCGCCCATAATGTTGCAGAAGGATGCTACACACCTCAACGTAAGCGAACGTATAAGTGAACCTACTTAAGGTACACTTCTCACTGCGCTTTGCATGCCAAAAATTCAGAATGAGACATGCCGAATCTTCACTCTCACATGGACAAATGATTTGATAAACCCTTCATTTTCATATTTGGTAAACAAATTAATAAATCAGTAGAGGGGCCTAGCGAATCGTCGCAAAAAGTAGTCTTCTGCGCCCCGCCTGATTTTTTGGGGAGCAAATTTCAGCCTCATCGGTTCACAAACAAAGGAGTCTATAAGCCACATACTTACATGCGAACAAATTCACAAAGATTGAGTTTTATTGATATATAGATACAGGGTGTCTCAAAAGTAAATACATACTATTAAAGGCAGTGTCCGGGCCAAAAGTCGATTTCGAGATTTTGTGCATATCCGGGCCTATTCGCTATGCTGAATCCATAAATCCACACTAAAAAGCGCGAAAACGGCGAAAAAGGGCTCTAACACAGGAGGGAAATCAGGATGTGGGCGGGATCTTCCCACAACGAATTCACGCTCCGAGCTTCTGGAGCGATTTTATCGATTTCGCTAGCTGCCTTGACATCTCCACCGGCCAAGTACGAAGGCTTGACTGAAATCGGAATCGAGAAGATGGCTCTGGAAGCTGGGAGCGTGAATTCAAATGGGGAGG